CGACGAAGTGTCTCTAAGTAAATTTTTCAACGTGTAATAAAGACACGGACTTAAATGTAAATGCAATAAAATGCTTTTATTTTATAAAATAGAATGAAACATTAGATGATATAAATAGTATATGAAACATGTACATGCATAAATATATATACAAGAAAAAAAAAACAGTTTCATAATCCTTACATGCAAAAAGAAAAAGCTTTTAAGAGTTCAATTTTGCGGAGGAAAAAACCCATTAAAATTCACCTGCGTTACATCCACAGTTGGAATATTATTTAGATATTTGTGTGGTTAATCACTTAACTGGTTTAGTGATAAATTAAACAATACACCAAATTGTGGACCTGACCTTGTCACTATGTTATTATCCTAGGATATATTAAAATTGATTATGATTGTCAGACACTTTTAATAATATTTTTTGTCCGAGATAGACTATATTTCTTTGGATGTCAAATATATACATCTGTTGTACGTTTTCAATGATTAAACACTATCTAAACTTCTTCCAATCCGTATTAAGTCCGAGGTTATTATTAATTATAAGCGAGGTGTTCCGATTGAGATTTGGCATTATTGAATTCTTGTTATTTCAGTTATGCACCCATGTTTGTAAACACTGTCCACACCAAACATCTTAAATGGACTTGTCCGTCTTTCAATCTGGGCAATTCTGTACGGGCTATACGGATTTTTACATTATATACGGAAATGTATGATACTGTACGGGCTATGCGGAGTTTTACAGTGTATACGTTGATATATGTTACTGTATGGACTTTGGGAATGTTTTACAGTTTATATTTGATATAATTTATACTATACGGAATTTTAAACATACTGTGTACGGAGAAAAAATCCATTTCTTGAGTTTTTATTTATTTTTTAATTAAATGGGTACGTAACATTATGTATTGAAAATGTCTACAGGTGACGAAAGTTTTTTTAAAGAATTCTATTTATGTAAATATTGTCTTTGTTTTAAATATTGGACATGTGGTCTTTGAATATGGTTTATTATAACAATACCTACTTCAAACGCCGCTAGATAATTTAAGCCATGAGAAAATACCATATTTTCTTAATAACACTTTACCGAATTAATAAATTATTCATATAAACGAATATCAACCTGCAGACAGAAGAAACGCATGTCAATAAATATGTAAAAAGAAAGCGTTTGATGATCGGTAGCTTGTAAAGTATTATAAGAAGACAATAAATTTATAAACTTGTCAAGAGTCATGAACAACTTCGAATGACGTCATTAGATTAAAATTTATTGTCAGTTTGTAAAAATTTGTCACAACTGCGCAGAGTTTATATTTAATTATATTTCTGTTTTCTATTTTATAAATATATTACAGGTAACTGCTAAAATATTTATGTAATTTATTATAAATATAACAGTATTACAATGGTCGTATATAAGAGTATTTGCGCTCCCACTTCTATAAAAATAAATAAAATAACGTGTGCAACCGTTCTCAAATTTGTATTAAAGGGACCCCAATGAGGTTTTTTGACATGATGGGACTGAAAATATTTTTTTCCAGATAAATATAGCATTTGATGTAGGTTTAGTCCACTAATCTATGTGCAAAATTTCAGATCATTCCCGCACTTCATTTTTCCAGAACAATTATTCAAATTGTACATAAATGACCCAAAATGAAAAGCGTTTAAACGCTTTTCACTTAAAACGGGCTAAGAAAAGCATAACAATACGATTTTCAATTTATTTTAAAGTATATTTCTTAACTATCTTTGCATATTTTTCTGCTTAAAGTGCCCCAGCTCATTTATGTAAGAAATTCAAATGTTATGTTTTAGGCTTTTAAACCTCAGTGGAGTCCCTTTAAGGTCACCGGCACATACCCATAAATATATAAAATATATAAACACAATAACATATTGTAATGTTAGGGTAACAGTACATTACACAATTTATATGTTTTACATGAAGTGGTGTAAAGTACAACCGCACTTGTCGTAACAGCATGTCTCACAAAACATATAGTTGTATAATATTAATTAGCAGCCGACATAAGATATAAGTTCATTTCGCAGTTTAACCGAAATGATATAAACACAAAATAATACACATCTTTCACATATGATTGAAAATGTAAAGGGTTGTCATGTCTTTGTATTTTCAGGAAGTTTCTTGATAGACTCGCAAGAATCGCCAAAAACATTAGAAAAGCGACTTGGAAAGAATGTACCTGTGTCAAAGTTCATGTCAAAGGACAATAATGCACGATATGTTCGAGCACATCCTACATTTATGAAATGTCTTCAACAACTTATCATGCGTCTCCGACAACAAGGAATTATGGTAAGTACATCCTTAATTAGTGTTTTTTTACACTTGTCATTCAGTCCATAGAAGTTATGTAATATAAATAGATGGCACGGGATCGTGTCACATTAAAATAAATATTTCAAGAGAGCCATAACTCCTTTGTTTTAAAGCAACACTTGATATACTAGTATTTGAGGAATTTGCAGATATTTTATTCTATTACTTGTCATTTCTTTGGGTAAAGCTTTTCATTACACATAATACTAAGTTTGAATTCAAAGTTAGAAAGTGGATGAGGTGAAATTAAAGACCTAATTTTATGGAGAAATAAAGAAATAGTCTGGAATCTTTTCACACATAGTTTTGCAATAGTTGTTCAACTTTTCGACTTTTTAATCTGTTTTCATCGTAAACATGTAAAACTGTTCGTTGAGTAGGTTTTAAAGCGACTTCCCTTACTACTATACTTGAACATTGAATTCTGCGCATTATTTTGGGTACGAGCGGGAACCAGTGTGGAACCACCGACCTTCTGTATGCCTTCTATGAAGAAATGCATGCCCATTATTATATTGTTCTTATTTACAAGTATCTATAATTCACATTTCAGGTAGAGTTACAAAGAGGCTTTATCACGAGCTCAGAGAGCACCAAAAGTACCGATGATCAGTATCTACAATCCGGATGTGGAGCTGAGCTGGGGATCGCAAGCGGTTCCAGCGGTACGGTCACTGACATCGCGAAAGCAGCATTCAACGCCTGTCCAGTTATTGTTGAGGTAAAGTATATGAAGCAAAATATTTTAAGTCTATCTATTTTCTATACCAGTTCTTACTCCATAATCCCACAAAAAGCACAAAACAAATACAAAATATAAGAAATATTTATAATTTTTCCATATTCATACAAGTATACGGCCGCATTGTTGCGTCTATGTAAATGATAGAAGCTATGGAGTGCAATGCACGTCACTAAGAAATCCGGACGAATAGGCGATCTGGACGAATGGGAAATCCGGACGATTGGGAAAATAAATTCAGTTTTGTTGGAATTAAATAAATTTAAGATTTTTAAGATTGTTTCATTGCTTTCATATTTTTCAATGACATAGACTGTACTCAAAAAGTGCAATCAAAAAGGAAATTATTGTTTGCATCTCGGTATTTTTACATGTATATATATTTTTGTATGTAAATTATTTTGTAAGATTTAGAAGGCATTGATCTTTTTTGCTTGATTTTGTCAGAGAGAAATGCGGGACTTGTACGTGCATCTTATGTCAAGCAAAGTGCACGTGCACATGGCAGGCCCAGAAGCTACCGGTCCTACTTTTGTTGTAACTGGTGTTTCCGGTATTGCAAACGCTGAAGCCGAAGCTCAAACATGGACTAACGACGGTATAGGTAGGTTGTTTACCCTGTCACTGAATATACCCGCGCAATCAGTGCAAACCACAAGCAGTCGGCACATTCGTGACATCTGATCATGGTCTGCGTTGTTCGCTATTCAGTCTAAACATATTTTGAAATTTCTCCCTAAAATGACGAATGGTTTCGCCCGGATTGAAAGACGGACAATTCCATTTAATATGATATTTAGTTTGGTAAGGGAATAAAATGAGAATAGATGAAAATTTCAACTCACTGTTTTAGAGTAGTCGGAACGGTTTCTTGTTGAAGCTGCATGATTATACATGTATTTATTCACGTATATTGTGTCGATAAATATGATGTAATGGTCAATATGTCCCCGGTAATGACCACTTATGATAATAAATCCAAATAACAGTTACTATAGTATTGCTATCTATTTGAAAATGACATTCAATATAATTATATATACAATATGAATATTATTAAAGTTATGGATCAAGATGTTACACGTTATCAATGTATAAAAAATCATCGTTAAAGTTCAGTCAATAATTTATTAGAATTTCTTCAAAGCATGTTACTGACATTGGAAAAATCAAATAAGTGTTTCATTAATGTAGCTCATGCGACCTCACTATTGTACCTTTTGATAATATGAGCCGCGTCACGACAAAACCCACATAATGGGTTTGCGACCAGCATGGATCCAGACCAGCCTGCGCATCCGCGCAGTCTGATCAGGATCCATGATTTTTGCTATCAGTTTCTCTACTTGTAATAGGGTTGGTAAGCGAACAACATGGATCCTGATCAGACTGCGCGGTGGCGCAGGCTGGTCTGAAGCCATGCTGGTCGCAAACCCATTATGTTGGTTTTGTCGTGACACGGCTCATATAGTGATTCCGATTTTGTGATTTATAAACTGGCTTTATGAACAGGCCGAATTCATTCAAAAGTGATTCTAAAAATCAAAACTATCGTTTCGGCCCTGCTTTTTTAACCAATCAGAATGCCGCGTTGCATTGTTGACTGGTTTAAAATTAATCTTAAGGCTTTTGTTCGCAAGTGTATACAGTATGCATGTACATATTGGCCCTATATTAAGTACATTGTGTTCAAAATTCTATGACAGTCATAGCATAAAATAAAAAAAAATCCAATATTTCATAATTTCATATGGCACATAATTTATGAGACATATTTCAGCTCTTTTTTTATGATTTTTGTTTTTCCCCTGTTTTTTTTTTCATTTAAAGAACGTTTTTGCGTTTCAATTGAAAACAAAAACTGTACAAGAAATGTGCACGTGTTTTTTTTTCTATATAATCAGTTCAATAGAATATGTAATCTGTATATATGTATACTACACATGTGATGCAAAACTGTAATTAATTTTAATAAAAAATTCTTGATGGGAGAAAAAAAAAACAACAAAATGTTTGTAAACCGACCCGATAATATACTTGAAAGATGACAAAGTTATACAATGCACAAAACTTTTGCATTTAAACCATTAGAAGATAAAATATCAAGCTTTTTTGGCGATTTCAATATTTTAAAACAAGGGCAAATACTTTGGGTACGATACAGGGCCAGCTTCTGTATGTAGTTACTTCCCTTTACAGAGTACTGCTTGTAACACATGTATGTTCATTATATTTTAGAGCCCACAGGAAACGCGGACTGCAGTAATTTTACCACCTTGACAAATGGCCAGCATTACCCGGCAATGTTCACGCATGACCGTGTTCTCGGCAATATAGATGTGAAGATCACAAGAAACATGACCGAGTTTAAAAGGTAATTAAAATTTGAAACAAATTTGATTCGTTTTGGCTTCTCAGGATATTGTATTCAGATGTAATTTGTTGATAAATTGATTCTCTAGTTTTGTTCACCAATACCCTAATACTCGCAGTTATAGGTGAAGGACATTTATATTCTCTGTAGAGATTGTTGTTATGAAATTACATACATGTATTATATTAAAATTATATTAAAGTCTTCAGTGTACCCGTTTTTTACTGTGACAGGACGGGCACCCATCTAATGCAAGAACAAAATTTTACACAGCGTCATATTTAAGTTTTTGAAGCCATTACTTATATTATATATGCGTCCTACCCGAATTAAATAAAACAATACAACCCTTGTCTATATGACTTTATAAGATCTTCGTTACTGGTAAGCTTTGATATTGTGTAAGGCATTGTCCGGACATTACACAACCATCACCACCATCAATAACAGGAACGTCGACAACAACATCCCATACTTGACCAAAACAACAACAACAACAACAACAACAACAACAACAACAAGTAAAACAACAACAAAACAACAACAACAACAACAAAACAAACAAACAATAAACACGGAAGGAAGCGAGCGAACTTAAAATAAAAACCGAACGTAAAACCAACAGCTGAAAAAGCGTAACATTTTTTATATTTTAAAGATATTCAGCGAATATTTCCAGGCTTGTTCAGTATCAAGGGACTAATATTGAATTCGAGAATACAGAGAGATCTGCTACCTGGTGTGGTGAGACCTCGATACAATGCCCGAGCACATGTGCTGACGGACTTCAGGGGAACACGGTTAACGAACGGTATTTTGTGAATATATATGCAGAATATACTTATAAATGAAATATTGAGAAACATTGATAAATGAAAATTTTGACCTTTTCATATTGTCACTTTAAAAAATTATTTTTCACTGCAATGAAACATATTTTCCGTATTTTCATTGGTACCTTGTCCGACAACTTTTTTTCTTTATATTTGGTTGGAATTAGAATTTTAAAACTAACTTCATACATTAAAACAACGTTTTTGTTGTTTTGCAGATGCGCAGACAGGGTCATGTCCAGTCGTCTGCTATCAGTCCTAAATAAATTACAGAGGAAAGCAAGAATTTCTATGAGCGGTAATTTTTGTTATAGAACTGTTACGTTACTCATAATATATTTATAGTAAATCAGTATCACAACCATAAACCCTGAAATAAAGACCACCTTCAAACAACGTCTGGCTATATAACATATTAGTAAACGCCATCGTTTTAGTAACTATGCAGTTTTGAATTTTTCTTGAAATTAATTGCTTTGAAGAACCAACTGCCAGAAATAATCTTTTCTTTTTAAATTTACTGGTCGCTTTTGACAGGTTTTATATTTGTATTGACTTCCTCGTATTATTTCATCGTTCGGTGAAATAATATTAATAACATATTTTAAATTGTTGTGAGCGAAGGTTTTTATCGTTTGATTTATATTCTCATTCTATTTCATCGTTCGGGAGAGAAAATATGACATGTTTCACAACACCTGAGCATCAGTCTTAAGGGCATGTCTTAATGCATTATGTTGATATCTATAGCTATATACTTCCTGCTTGTTGTTTATATAAATACTTCAAGGACATTTTAAACAATGCGTCAATTAGCGATTATTCACATATTTTCATTTATTATTAAATATCAAATGAAAATGCAATACTCAGATATTATAAACATTATAAAGAACACTGTATAAAAACCGTAATGCATTACACGCGTGGTCTAGCCATTACGTAATTCTTAATCCGTTACGTTAAGAAATGCGGTGACGTAATAATTATGTTAGAATACGGATTCATGCTGTTAGAACTTGGTGTATTTTTGTCGTGGAGGGTGAATGTTGGTAATTTTCCCTTCCAGTCGATAAAATGTCATCAACAAGTATACATACTTTACAATAGGAATTAGAACTTTAACCTGGTGAGGTGGCTGCCTCTCAACCCACGGCTCATTGGTTCGAACCCGTCTTGGCCATGGCCATGTTTCTTCATATTCTACTAGTGCTGGTTAATTCAATTAAGCAACGTCGCGGGTTTTTTTTTTAAATATAAACTACATTTTCTCTCTCCACAATTGGCCTTAAAACAATGTTTTAATAACTAACACTCATGGAATATACCAGTGAATTAGAGCAGTGAATTAGAGCCCTTTGTGCTCTAACTGACGAAGTAGGGATTTTTCACTCATTTACATACACATTTACAGTTAAGATTGTTTTTACATTTTTTTTATTATTATATATATCTTAAAAATCCTTCTGCGTAGTAAATTTGTTTTGAAAACGTAGTTTTTTCTCCAGACCGCAACGGTTTATACCATTTTTAAGTTTCTATTATTTATTTCAATTTATTTCCTGTATTGTTTCCCAAACAATATACTATAATAATTAATCATTTAAAGTACGACTTTTAAAATTTATCGGTCACATACCTTTTCTCTGCCCCACTATATAGCGTTAATCCATTTTCTTTCTCCATTTTTATCACACTCTTTCCACTATTGACAATTCCTATTAAGTATAAAAAATGTTAAAACAATTGAATGAGATGATGGGAAAATAGCGAGAAATAAACCGTGTCCATTTTTATCGGACAGTAATCTGCTTGACATATGTTCATTAACCCCTCCAGCATACGTTTAACTTCTCGTCCCTTGTCATTTTAAAGTTCAAATACCATTGTCGAATTTACATGTCATAAATTTGCACAGATTCGTCAGTTGTCATAACTGGTTTTTACCTTTGACTTCATTTTGAATTTTTTATAGTCTTAAATTTGAAACGCACAAAAGATTGAATGCATAAATACATCTTTTGATAAAAACTGTATTTGCAAGTACAAAAGTCACGATTTGAGACGCAAAACTTCTTAAAAAATATTTTCAAATTACAATAATAGATAATAAATCAAATTCGCAAAAAAAACTTGCAGTACTTTCACAAAACATAAAAATGGGCGACAGTCTTTTCTAGCTTTTCTTAAACCGTTTTCATCCATCTGTGGCCACTCGTAAATGAAAAACCTTTTTGCTATCAAACAATCTTCGGATTGCTTTTGCTTTCTTTGTGTAATAGGTAATTTTTTATTTTTCTCCATTACTTGATTTCCTCCTTTTAGAAAAAAAATTACTACATTCAGCTGTATATTTGACGAAACTCCCCAGCTTTTAATTTTGCAGTATTCAGAGACAGCTACCAGACTTGCAATATATATACAAACTTGTAGGTACTACATTTAAGAATAGTCACTATTCAGACTGCATGCACACGGAAGGCCAGTATAGCGCTAAAGAAAACAACAACAATAACAACAACAACTAACAAATATAATTCCAACATTCAGTGGTTTCATGAAACTTTGTCAAATCAAATGAAAACAAAAAATACAGTTCAGTATTTAATGTATCATGTGACCCCCTAGCACAATAAAATCTATTTTACGTTATGGCAGTTACTATAAAAAAGCAGTGAAACACTTAAAAAGTTCAGATTTCTCATAAATTTTATTGTTTTTACTTGCACATCATTAAAGATTGAACTGAAACTTTTTAAAATTGTTTTATGTTGTATTGTCAACGAAAATATTCAATTAATAAATGCAGATGTAAGAACAAAACTTTGAGAATAGTGTATTATAAAGTCAGTTGTCAAATATTTCATTTATAAAATGTAAAAACATTAAAACAAGAAAGTAAAATTTACCTAAAAGTATATATCCTTGATATATGTGTGTAAATTCTCTAAGTATGAAAGTGGATAAAGTACTCCTCCGATTTTATTTCCATATTTTGCACGCTCCATACATCACAAAGTATAAAAGAAACAAGTACTGAATGTAATTATACAACCACTCACGGTCAATTATTGTAGAATGTCGGTTCCATTTGAAATAAAACAATTAACAGCAATTTGGCTTTATTAAGAGACCTTTAGACGTGTCGGTGACATTTCTAGAATATATCGTTATAGTTTGCTTTCGAATGTACGAAATAAATGAGCCGTGTCACGACAAAACCAACATAGTGGGTTTGCGACCAGCATGGATCCAGACCAGCCTGCGCATCCGCGCAGTCTGATCAGGATCCATGCTGTTCGCTATCAGTTTCTCTACTTGTAATAGGGTTTGTAAGCGAACAGCATGGATCCTGATCAGACTGCGCGGATGCGCAGGCTGGTCTGGATCTATGCTGGTCGCAAACGCACAATGTTGGTTTTGTCGTGACGCGGCTTAAATGATAGAGCAAGGGTTTATAAGCGGATGAGTATAATACTTATGGTAACAGATGCTGACACACAAAATGCTGTATTAATACGCGACATTTGTAACGGAAGTTGTGCACAGATCTCTACGCATGCGTTTCTGCTAACGTAACTTCCGGTTACTATTGACATTAAGCAAAAATCTTATTTTTAACCCTTTGTGACTTTCATTTACAGTGAAACTTTAATTATGCAAGAAAGTAGGGTATAAAAAGAAATCGAGCGGACTTTAAGTATTTATGTACGAATATAAGAGTTAAACTAGTGTTTAGCGTTAATATGTAATTATTAGACTGAATTGCTGTGGTTGGTTCGAAGCATCGATTTTTTAAAATTAAAATGGAAATTCATTGAAAAAATTGAATGATAATCGATTAATGATAGAGTCATGTACAATAACAATATCATAGTAATTGTAATCAATTATAAAAAAACGGGGAAAAAAACGACAACAACAACGACAACAACAACAAAAATCATAATATAAACTTAACGTAATAAAGTCTGTTATTTATTTTTCTTATAACCATAATTGATTAAAAAGAATGTTTCTCATTTGAATAACTTGAGGCCGAACTAAGTTATTGATTGGTGTAAATTCATTTTGAAAATAAAGAAGAATATGCTCACGAAAATTTGGCATTTTTCGTTTCTTAAAAAAAAAAATTAAATAAGTGTCGATATAACATACATCAAACAAATATATTTTGACAGTTCAACATTTTAAGACTACAAATACATATTAGATACGAAGTGACGCAGTTTTCGAAATAGATTCAATATATGTTTTAAATTCTTGTAATTCAGACAAACTCAGGGTTCTTGAGGCCTGGGACGAGCCTTATGACGGACATGCTCAAGGTGATAGCGCAGACGGTTCACTACACTACGAAGGTCGCGCGGTCAAGGTCACGTTGTCGTCTGGTGACACAAATAAACTTTCGCAACTTTCGAACTTTGCGATCTGTTTAGGTGCAGATTATGTCGAACACAAAGGTTTGTTTATTTATTTTTTTATCTTATAAGTTTTTGAAAATGAACGTTTTGTAAAATTAATATGATCCTTAAAGAGCAGTGACAACACATTTAAGTACGCGAACATTGCAATAATAATTGATAAAATATCAGATTTTCTGAGCACTCGTGATAGTCTATCATCATTCGAAGTGGTATCTGTCTTTTATTACACAGGTACACATCTATACATTGCCGCCAAAAAGTATTTGGCAGGTGGGTCAAAGGTTCTATTTCCGAACATGGAATTACTGGAAGTAGATGTACCTGTCGCAGTTGAGAGCTCCTATAGTTTACCGTCTGCGTTTTCTGAAAAAGAAAACAGACAGTACCCGTTATTTGACAGTAGCGGAAGAGTGAGTAAAATTTGATACGCTTAAAGAAATACATGTAGTTTTAAATAGCACACTTAAAGAAGTAGTTTCAAAGAGATACATATCATGCTATCCAAATTATGTTGTTCGATGTAATAATCTAATCGATGTAGAGGATAAAATTTATACATTCGTTTTATTCATTGAAACTAGGTCTATACATTCATATTACAATAAAGAGTTAAGTTCATATATGCAAAGTAACAAATTGGCCAATAAACTTTATCCTTTGTAATGAGTATTTGCAGTTTGGTGCCAGCTCAGCCGTCGCATCCGTTTAGTCTGACAATGCAGTCTTTATACTGTTAATAGCTCAATTTTGAAATCCTTTAAATTTTGAGTGGACTGTTTCAAATTTAAGCAGGTCGAATCATTTAAAACATTCAGCAGATCAAGACTGGTGTCCACTGGTGCCACCAGCGTGATGTAGTTTTTGCAAATTACCTAACGCAAGACCTTGACCTCTGAGTTTCCTTTTTGGGTAGTTAATTATTGATACTGTTGATTAAAATTAACCAACATTATTAAATTAGGTCATATTCGAAAATGAGCATTAGTATTATTCATACACACTGCTATTCAATATATATTTTTTCTGTTCGTTTTACAGCTGAATGCCACACTATCTCCCGGTGTCACAGTAGGGCAGTTCGTGTCGAAGAACTATCGTTACTTCCGGTTAAACCCACGTATTCACGACTGCTATATTGATATGGTTTACCACGAGAACAAAATGCTGAAAACATCAGGTAATGGTGCAAAATAAATACACTTGCAATATGTATAAGTAACTCAACTTTCATTAAACAACTGAGCCATTATGTATTAGACCATTTTATTACGGAATGCCGTTAGGGCCATCGCCTATGAATGTGTTGATCTAAAACGCGATAGTCGATAGTACGATGGTGAAAACGCGAAATCACGAAACTTCGATGGTGAAAACGCGAAAGCACGATGATGAAAACGCGATAGTACGATGATGAAATCGCGACAGTACGATAGTACGATGGTGAAAACGCGATAAACTATCGTGTTTTCACCATCGTACTGTCGCGTTTTCACCATCGTAGTTTCGTGATTTCGCGTTTTCATCATCGTAATGTCGAGTATCGCGTTTCAGATCAAACCATTCATAGGCGATGGCCCTAACGGCATTCCGGAATGCCGTTAGGGCCATCGCCTATGAATGTGTTAATCTGAAACGCGATAGTCGATAGTACGATGGTGAAAACACGAAATCACGAAACTACGATGGTGAAAACGCGATAGTACGATGATGAAAACGCGATAGTACGATGATGAAATCACGACAGCACGATGGTGAAAACGCGATAGTACGATGATGAAAACACGACAGTACGATGATGAAAACGCGATAGCACGATGGTGAAAACGCGATAGTACGATGGTGAAAACGCGATAGTACGATGATGAAAACACGACAGTACGATGATGAAAACGCGAAATCACGAAACTACGATGGTGAAAACGCGACAGTACGATGGTGAAAACACGATAGTTTATCGCGCTTTCATCATCGTAGTATCGTACTGTCGCGTTTTCATCATCGTACTTTCGCGTTTTCATCATCGTGCTTTCGCATTTTCACCATCGTAGTTTCGTGATTTCGCGTTTTCACCATCGTACTATCGACTATCGCGTTTCAGATCAACACATTCATAGGCAATGGCCCTAACGGCATTCCGTATTTTATAGCAATTGACAATACGTCAGAGAAGTGATTGCTCCGCCCACTGATTCACGTGACCCGGTCACTCAGAATCTTAGACAAAAGACGGTACCGACGTTTACGCGAAACTACGGAAGCGCCCTGGTGTAAATGTAATATGGTATTTAAAAAGAAATTAACTGCATTCACGCATTAATGATAAATTAAACGTTTGGCAAAGATCTTTTTATATTTCTTGCTGACATCAAGGAAGATGTTACTGACAAAATATCATTTTAGTTTACAAATTCAAAGATAGTTAAAATTGATGTAGTGGAACATATAATAGTAAAATTATATCAATAAAACAGTAACATTTACAAATGTTTTTTGGGATTTTATGTGCGAAATCACTTATATATAATGCATTTGCGCATAAATTGTCAAAATTAAATGAGAAAATTGCCCTTGCGTAACTTTGTTATATGAAATATGATTATATGTTTATTTGTACATTAGATATTTTCGTGATAAAACGCAATATTATTCACTTCAAAATAAATTTCACATATACCATACCTCAACTTTAAATTAAAACCGTGATCAGATATAATGTTATTGAAGCAGATGTATTTAAATATTTAATATTTAATCTTAATTCATTGAGCTTTAATAGAAATATTTAGGTAGAATAATTTCACCTGAAATATTTATTGCATATTTTTTTTTCATTTTATTTGCAAGTACTTTTTTCTACTGCAGCATTTTATTGACAATATGTTATAAACGAACAAAAAAAGTCATATCTTCTGGATATTCCGAGATCTTATAATATATTGTGATTATGAATAGACATCATTGTAATGAAGGAAGGAATATAGTATTTGTTAAAACTTTTTCCTTGTTTAATGCAAGGTGGTATAGCCAGTTTTAACTTTCCTACCTGCTATATAACTTATTATCTTCATATATAGAAAGTTCCTGATATTTTTGTTTTGTGTAAAATGAACTAACTAACTCCATCTGTCAATATGTCAGGATATTTTGTAACTTAGATATACCGTTGTGGCGCCGTTATATGTCGCAACGCCGCTAAATGTCGCACTTGCCGCTAAATGTCGCACCATTGACGCTAAATGTCGCAACCGCCGCTAAATGTCGCAAAATCATTTGCCGTTAAATGTCGCAATGTTAACGTTAAATGTCGCAAGAATTTCCCTTACCGTTAAATGTCGCAACACTACCGTTAAGTGTCGCAAGATTTAAATTCATGTTAAAATCATGTTTAAGTAGAATTATATTACTTTTTAACATTCTCATAGTTATTTTTATTGTAATTTGCCATTACACAAAAATTATCTTTGTCTCACTTGGTTTCTTTAACGAACATAAATATCGAGGTTTTAAAATACTATATAATGTAATCTTTAGGCTAGAAAGGATAATTGATACTAAATTCTCAATAGATAAGTATTTTTCTCTTGTTTATCATTTTCATCTGTAACCCTGATTGACAACAGATAAAAGGTATTATGGTATTGTCACTCTCAGAATTTGGTTTAAGTAATTTCATTTATTTTCTCAGAAACAACCGAATTAACTTTAAACGTGGTTTAGTTGTTCACTATGATCATATGATGCAATATCAAAAGGCAGATAATCCTAGTTATATTTTGCAAAGTAATTCCCCTTATTTTTCTAAGATGTTTTCGCGCTGATTAACCTTTAGGTTACGGCTAATTTCAAACATATTCACTTTTAATTTAAAATACTTATTTTATATGAAAGTACTAATGCATTTCTAAAGGACAGATGACCCTGAAAGTTACTTTTTCTAAAATAACTCCCTTTTTATATTTAAAAAAAAACGATCACAAATATTCACTTCAAACGTGAAATATTGATTGAATATCAAGGCAAATTATTTATTTTAACAGAAACGGCAAATACGTGAAAAAACATAGTATGAAATGCATGGTCAATACCAAAATCGAAAAAAAAATATAAGCCGTGTCACGACAAAACCAACATAATGGGTTTGTGACCAGCATGGATCCAGACCAGCCTGCGCATCCGCATAGTCTGATCAAGATCCATACTGTTCGCTTACCAACCCTTTTACAAGTCGAGAAACTGATAGCGAACAGCATGGATCCTGGTCATACTGCGCGAATGCGCAGGCTGGTCTAGATCCATTCTGGTCGCAAACCCATTATGTTGGTTTTGTCGTGACACGGCTCATATCATGTAGTACTCCTTGATCATGTAGTATTCGATATGCAGTCGGGTGCTAGATATGAGCGAATTTTACGAATATATGCACCGGAATTTTTGTAAGCAGCCAGCCCGCATAGAGCGCGAGACTTGTAACCTCGACCTTGTTGGCTCTATTCCCGGGCAGGCCAACTAAAATTACTGATCAGTCTTTCGGATGATACTTTAAATCATGGTCCCGTGTATGGTTGCTAAAACAACTTGGCACGCTAAAGAAGGGGAAGCTTCTAGAATCGGGGCATCTTTCTATATCTGTAATTGCACTTTCCTCCAAAATATAAAATGACTTGTACTCTTCTGGAGGACTCCCCCATGTGGTCAACCGGTGGCGAGTATAAATAAACGCAAAGTCACACACAGTAAGCAGATGTCAAAGTTAAAATAAGTACACACGATTAAGTACATTTGACGATTTGTCAAACACTATTTGAGCTTTGACATTGTGGCAAGTGATATTTTACTCGCAAAGTCGCTGTATACATGTACTATGAAAAATTCTCAGTAACTATCATATAATAAGAATACAAATAATTGATTAAGCTCATATTGGCCTTTCTTTTTGGCTGAAGACAGCTAGCCGTTTTGGCCAGAGAATTTAGGCGTTTTATATCATTGCTTTGCTGTAATGAAAATCTTAATCTGTAACGCTTCATGATAAATGATAAATATTTCAATGAAATTAAATCTGACATTTTTCGAAAAACACAAGACATGAATTATGCGTCGTATATGTAACGACGATATTGGTTAGATATCTGTAACCACTTTTATGTGCGTCCTAAAATGCGCATGTCGAGTACGTCATAGTGAAGTTCAAATGACCATAAAAACAAACATATGCACAATAGTGTATTTATTTTAAGATAATTTTAAGAACTTTATTTTTCAAAACCAAAAAATGGAACAGATGTGTAAAGAAAAAACATCTTTTTAATTTATTGCAACAATAATATGAATGACCACTGCCTTTCTGGCGTTAAAATGGAAATAAAGCACGCATACGACTAGCAAATTTGATAAAAGCATAAACTGTTTGCGTGAATTTCATCCTGCAAATTAAAATATATTTTAGCTTTTGTGACCATTGCCCATTGATCACTTCCTTGATATAAAGGAAGAATACCATGCAAGTTATCAACCTTCCAAATATGAAATACATTTGTCAATAAATAAAGGCTGTAAAAGTGTAGAAATCTATTTTAGAACTGGTGACCTTGACCCAACTGAACCATAACTCCATCCAAAGGAGAAGACCTCAAACCCATGTTCCTACCAAATATAAAAGACATCTTTCAAAAGAATAATGTTAAAACACCTGTAAAAATGTTAAAATCTATTTTGGCAGTGGTGACTTTGGCCTTTACCCACAGGACCCCCAATTAAACCCAAAGGAAGAGGACCTCCCTTGGCATGTTTGTATTTAACATGAAATACACAATCTTAACAATAGAGGCTTAATGAGCCAAAATGTTTTTAAAAAATCACACCAGTGACCTTGACACTAGAGGCCCCTTACTCCATAAAAATACATGGCCATTAATTGTATCCACCTACCAGATATGGAAGATAGCATTTAATAAATTCTTAAGATAAATCCAACTTACCGGAATAGTTAACAATACAAGGTCCTATTTTCGAAATGAAAAAGGGAATATAACTTGGGAAAATGGATGGCAATATCATGAACTTTTTTTAAATAAGTAAGTGTGGAAATGATGAAGCCATAAGTATAGACAGTTAACTTAAATAAATCCAACTTGCCGGTTTAGGTTAACGATATTCATTCTCAAACTGCTGAAAATGGCAATAAATAGATTAAAATCTATGCAATAATTATGTTACTTGCCATGATCAACTTTTTGTATTGATTAATAAATGTGTAAATTATGAAGCCCTTTGTAGAAGTAGATTTTAGGAAATATCCAACTTGCCGTTTATTATTTTGATCGTTCCATTTTTTAAAACATGACACTAATTTTATGCTGCCAGGCTCCTAGACTGCCAGCTTTAGGCTATTAGACTACAAAGTAAAATGCCCTAAAGCCATAATCATGCATGTGTATGTGCTTTTGCATGACCTTTCATAGTGATTTTACTGTATTTTGAATTGTTTCCATATTTATAATATAAGTCGCTAACTTTAAGCTAGTAGGCTGCCGACTCTAAGCTGTTAGATTGCCAACTTCAGGTTGCAAAGCTGACATCGAGAGGCTGTTAGGATGTTAGGCGGCCTCCTCAGGATACTAGGCTGCCAACGTTAGGTTTACAGGGCGTTAGGCAAACTCTTAAGGTTCAGGTCGTCAGCAATTTAGGCTTCCTCTCCGACAGCGAGACAATTTGCCTCCTCAGTCAACTAGGCCATCAGACTGCCACCTCAGGCAGCCTGTCTCTTCTGTCACTTTACAGACACAATTGTACTAAACTATTTACAGATCATTGCCAGTTTTGCAGTTTCATACAAATAGTAGACAATTGTATAATTATCAATATGTACTTGTATAAGATCAGCTAAAAATCGAACGCAAAACAATAAACATTTATTTACAAGACCGCCTAAATTGTAGCGCAGTTCCATATATAATAAATTCACTCGCTTTCAAATTGAGTAGGCAGATTTAATTAATATGATCCAACAATAAAACTTGAGTTCAACATAAAATTACATCTTGCGACATTTAACGGTAGTGTTGCGACATTTAACGGTAAGGGAAATTCGTGCGACATTTAACGTTAACATTGCGACATTTAACGTCAAATGGTTTTGCGACATTTAGCGGCGGTTGCGACATTTAGCGTCAATGGTGCGACATTTAGCGGCAAGTGCGACATTTAGCGGCGTTGCGACATATAACGGCGCCACAACCGTTTTAATAGCTTTAAATTGACAAAAAAAATCAAAATTTCAATATAAATACAGCTGCACCATTGTCTTATACACATAACTTGTCTAGGGAAAATGGCGGACTTCTCAGACATTTTAGCATGAAACTGATAACGATCGCCGATTGGCTTATCTGTAAGACCCCTGCCAGCTTGATTGACTGGCGGCGTAATGTCAATTTACATAACAGAACGACAGTTAATAGAACAGTTCCTCTTGCCATTGGAATTTATTAACTGTACCTAGCATTGTATTACTTACGGTAAAAATTTACGTGAGTCACACGTGAAATACGCGAACAATAAAAATCAATCGTTGAATAAAATACAAACCCGCAATTACGCTCTATAATACCATATTGATATCAATCGTCAGTTTCCGGCCATTTTCGTCAATGTTCGGGTATTAAAAACACCTCGCCGATTATTGATAATCATCTCGGAAGTAATACGGATTGAAAGTAGGATCGGAAATGTTATGATGTAAACCATGTATCTGACATGCAATTTTAACCAAATTGTTCGGTATATAGTAAAAAACATTTTAGTAAAACAAAATACATTTATTACTTTCGGTTTCTAAGAACATAATTATAAATGTGTAAGTAATGTGCTGTACACATTTATACTAATAAATTTACTTAATTAACATCGATTTCAGGCGCGCAGCTAGCCTATAAAGAATGTGGATTCAAAATAATCTAGGGGGGTCAGGGGGCATGCCCTCCCTGAAAATTTTGAAATAAATGGTGCAATTTGGTGCGTTTTGGGGCCTCCGGAGAACTTTCTTGACCAACGAAAATCCATTTATTTTAGCATAAAAATGGAGATGAATAGCTTTACTTTCGTTTATTTCAACTAGTCTACATTTCACAGCAAGTCTAACTTGCGGCCTTTGCTGGCCGCAAACTCGTTAATGATACATGTAATATCAATATCTATTTCCATGTGTCTGTAGGCGTGCAACAGGGCTAGTCCAGATATCCGTTCTGTGAGCATCGTTGATCTCATGTAGTTTTTCAGGCGTCTCATGATACTAAACTGCCTCTCGGCGGTAGCGGTAGACACTGGCATCGTAATTAGTACAACTAGACAGGTGAAGATGTCTGGATACAGAGTCTTGTTTGTAGCCTTCAATGTGCCAGTAAGATTTGAGGGTTTTGTCCCCTCCAGCTCCCATCTTACTTTCCATCGTCTTTTCAAACCACATTTTTTTTACTAAAAAATTTTTTTTGTCAAAATAATGTGGATTCAGCTGCGTACTCGCGTTTAGGCAGCTACGCGCCTGGATTTTAAACAATAACAAAATTGAAAGTCATCAAATCACAGCATTATTTTACAATTTGTTACATGTTCAATAATTTAACGTTTGTCGGAATACTGTATCAGTTACGAATATTCGAACCCTTTTCGTCAAACTTAGGAACAAAGAAGCAAAAATACACAGAACGGATACGGTATTTCATTCGATCTCACCTACGCTAAGAAACAAATAGTAATTTAATGCTCTCAAAGGTTACGCCCTCTGTTTTTTTGTTTACATCTAAAACCACGTGGTAGAACTACTTTCAGTGAGGTTATTACTGATAATAGCTGAGATGTTCCGATTGGGACACGAGCAATATAACCTCGAATAAAATCGAGCCGTATCATTCAGACGACAATATAAAATATCGCAGTTAGATTTTTAGATATTGTTGATACATATCAGTTTGCTAAAGGGATATTGTGTTATACAAATAAACAAGATTGTCTCCCTCAAATAGGTTGATACATTCATGGATCCTAGGCCTGTGGCTAAAGGCATACACATTTTACGTTTCATTTATTATCGGTAATATTAATTTGTTTTGGTAGTAAAGTTGATAGTACATTAAATCATTATAACCATGTGCAGAAATATTTCGACTTTATTTGTGAATAAAACTGAGTTTATCTAAAATCTGCCATTTAAGTAGATGACACGTCATCAGCAATATTAATATGATTGGTTGCGAAAATTGGATGCCACGTGAGTCAATCAAGGTAGGAAATCTCATCGGTTAAGATCCATACTTACTTACCGAAACACCTGTTTGGATGTGCCATTCCGATTGGCAATCCCACCGTCCATCAAGCCCATCCTTAGCTGTTTTTCCCCATGTATATAACGGGTATATAAACGGTCTAAATAACTTTCCGTGCATCCTCATATTAAATGGCACAAAAACAACTCGTGCTTATATTTAGTAGCTGACAAAAAAATTAATAGGTCACTTTTATGCAATTGAAAACGTTTGTGGAAATGAATGCTGCAACTATCGGTCCATTTATTTTAATTTTTATTATATTTATTTCCGTATGACCAGTTGTTACGGGAGTGTTGTGCACACCTGTTTTTGGTCAGTTTTTATATCTGGCTGTCCCCACAGGGTAGGACTTTTAACGGGGAGTTAAAAATCGAAGGCCGCTATTTACCGGGAATTTGTACCGATGTAATAATTAACTGGAACATTACATTCCAATCCTTTATTTCCACAGATCCTAAAGTAGAGATAGAAGTTATTCGAGGTTATCTTTCGAATAATGAAAACAACCGGAAGTTTGACGTCATAAACGACAGACGCTACAACCGGCATACATTAGGACTTGCCATGCAGCTCAAGTACAAATCTTCATCTACTCTGCCTGCGACACACACACCATACAGGTACGGTCATCACTCTCTTACAATTCGGAACTGATTTTATATAATAATGATATCGCATCATTAAAATAGATAGGGAAAAATCGAGACACCATTAAAATAGGTTGGGAAAAAATCGAGACACCATTAAAATGGGTTTGGATGAAATCCAGACAAAATTAAGATATGTTGGGAAAAATCCGGTCCATGAAATTGTATCAGTCCTAACGCCTTATTATTTTAGCAAATATTTTAACTTTGTTCTTTGACGGACATTGCACGGAAATCTCGATCTTACGGACTAGTCGTTGATAATTTAAAGATCATTCTCTCCGGCTTCGAACACGATATTCGAAATAAATAAGTTTGTGGGGGAAAAAAGGGAAATAATTTTTTTGATACTTTTTCAAGTAGACCTTGCTAAAACGTTCCAGCTCTACTGTATATTCATATTTTACATTTGTTGGGTTAATAACTTAATATTGTTTTATAATTATATAGGTTGTTTAAAGTAGCCATAGATAAATGTGCACCAAGGTTCTATCAGGCGAACAATGCAATGGGTATCGGGTTATACCAGGACAGTATATTTGTTGACATGCGGCCCAAGTTTCATATGATGAAACAAAGCGTCGACAACCTTCCGGATGGTGTTGACCGTAACACATTTGAAGATGACGTCATACAGCGATTTAATCTTGCACGAGGTACAGTCATTGAAAATGTTCTGTCATAGTTCGTATATATTCTTATAATATTTACATAGTTGAATATTTTTTTTATTATTTTGGCTTGCTTTGGAATGGGAATCGTTTTACTTTATTGAAAATTTATTATTGAATTCAATATACAGAAATGAGTATAGGAATCGAACTTACTCTCGCTGCCGGTAAATACCAGAATATCTAACTATTTAAGGGGGGTAACCAGACTCTGTCGTAAAGTATTTTAGACTTTTAAAGCAAAGCAGGATGCGTCGACTTGTTGTCATTACAGACGAAACTATCCGACTCTCGGATAACTGTTTAGCCGGAACTCGACAGGGTCTCGTTGCCGCTTTATAGAGTACCCTATGCGTTCGATACGGCAGCCGGTATTCAGACTAAGACTTACAATATCTATATTTTTTCTCATTTTCGATCTGAAAACTTTTTCTGTGAAGTGTACAAATTTTCTTATTCACATTTTAGCTCATTATAAAAGATTGTACAAATTATTTTCTTTACACACTTTCCCCATGTCTTTTAACATTTTTTGTTATGCATTATTTGTCATGCATTATTTGTCTTTTTCCTTTATCATTTTATCTCGGGCAACCATCTTTTTTTCTCGGGCAACCATCTTTTTTTCTCGGACAACCATCTTTTTTTTCTCGAGCAACACTTCTCAGCAACAATCAAAATCTATGTTAAACGAAGGGTGTTGTTCTACAGAGATCGTACTGTATTTCTTTGAATATAGGCCACGTTTATCCTCGGCCATTTATTAATGAAAAATGATTTTATTTTATGCTTTTCAGTGAATTACTGATTTATCCGTGAAAATTATATTTGATATTTTCACAGTGAAAATTATCAAAACATAATTTCACACTTTTCAATGACGAAACTACTTTCTTAAGATTTTCCCCGTGTGGTACCTAGATTTTATTTTCGCTGACAGTTCTGACAATGTCAGGCTGTTCAGAGAAAAGCAAAGCTGAAAATGATAAATAACTTAAATGTCAAAATTAATAAAAAGAAGAAAAATTACTTCTTATCACCTAATACCATCTCTTATTTTTTTATTGTTTCATTTTTATATCCTGAAAAATACATTCCTTCCATATGGAAAACTGCTCTTGATGACATTGGGGCATATCTAAGTATCCTACGAGCAATAACTGCCGTATGCTTTATGAAAAATTGAAAAGCAATGACAGCCATCAGCACAACCCAGCGTTCGTTAGGATTCCAAGTTTTCCAATTTTTTAGCCGCTTTTTGAATGTTTACACTAATTTATTGTCTGTTACAATCCTCAAATAAGTTTTCTTCCTTTTAAAAAGGTGTATGACCCCCGTGTATGACCAACAAATTCAAATGATATCCCTTTGAATCAAACACAATTATTTCCTCCCTTTTAGAATTGGCGACCGCTTTCATTTAACAAAGTCAGGTCTAATATAAATTCGCAGAAGTAACAGAAATATGGGTGGATGGTTACACTTTAATTGTTTGTTTTTATTATTAAAACAAGCGATCATTCATATTTTTTTTAATAAAATGAATAATATCACCGCCATTTAACGTTGATTGTCGAACTTATTTTCAGCCCAATACTTCTTGTATTTAATGATAAATTCGACTAAATGGGGCTCTCAGTGGGGAAAACAGATTTTGATATTAACTCATAACTCTTAGATTGTATATTTTATTGTATATAGCATCACAATATGAATTCAGCTTCTTATACTTGCGAAAGATTATTAAATGAAGTTATATTTCAGGGGGAAAGATAGTTGATCCGGAAAATATAACTACAGCTTGCATATTCCAAACAGCCCCTCAACCTCAGTCCATTGATTTCAAACATGAACACCCGGAGGTCGTGCATCGTAAAAGGTAAAGCAATTTTGATTCACCTTAGCCTTTATTTTACATTGCATATATTTAGTTGTCTTCCTATGTGTATGGAACGCCAGATGTGTCTAAATTAAGACTAGTAGCTTATCATAATCATATAACTTATTATCATGTAACCTTTTGATAAACGAAACCAGTTCAGCTTTGGATACGCATTTTTGTATAAGCTTTCAAATGGACTAGCTTTTTAAGATTAAGGTTATGAAAATAAAATATTTATAATTTAATTTAAACAATATTTCGTATGAACGCACACGCGAAAATACATGACATTTTATCACGTGCTATATTTTCAGACGCCGTAAGAGGGCTGCCGATGACGAGTCATGCGTGCCAACACGATACACGAAATTCTGTTCTTTAACAGAACAGCACAGAAACGCCGTTATAGAAGATATTAAGGGTCAGTTAGATCGTGTACACTATGGCGATGAAAAGGCAAAGGCTAAAGTTCTGATTGCACTAGACGGATGCTTTGGCGATTGTGGAACGTGTCTTGATGGTACATATAAAATTTAGTTCATGATAGTGAGTGTTTGGGAGGGAGTTATCTAGTTGTAACACACACTAACTACAAATGAAGGGGCCCTGCGTTCGAACAAGCACCCTACACTACTTTAACTAAGAATAGTTCGGATGAGACGAGGTGCTATGAAGTAGCGCTTTTCACCTCCTTTAAAGTAAAACAATCATGTTTTTCTCCTGAAATAGGGGTCTTTTCTGCATTTTGCTCCAAATACCAACATTCTAGAGTACGAGTTATTCGCTATTTTAAGATTTTGTTGGCAACTAAAAATAAAAGTTTTAGTCATGTTTTATTTGTTTGAATGATAAACAAAAACTTAGCGACATGATAGTTTCTTCCTTACAAAATATGCAACCGTATTGGCCACCAAATTGTGACCTTTCCATCGGGGATACGTCGTATCTTTCACTCACTGTTTTCTTTAATTATTTTGATTTTTTTAGCATGCATCAGGTTAGCAAGATAAGCTTGCTTCACTAGTGCTTTTAACTAGAAGTTTTGTGAAGAATAACTTCATATTACATGTATTAGTCAACTATTAGTAAGATAAAAAATGTCTTTTTCGTGAGAGATTTTCATTTGGAAATACTTTTACCTAAATGACCATCACTTTTGTTATTCAAACAGGAAAAAAAGTTCATGTTTAGCCACTGGTCTATTTAACATCTTTGTTTAAGCATTAAACTTATTTCAGGTGAGATCTATTTTAGTAAGACTGAACACTGCAACAATTTCCTGCACTGGGTAAACTGGGAGTTACTTAACAATCAACCTGACGTCACCAACTTTTTTGTCCGCTCTAACAGAAACGCCAATATTCATGCATGTGAGGGTGGGAATGATTGTATTGAGAATTCTCCACTGTTTTCTCTTGTTGGTAAGTTGTTCAGAGTAGCGGCGTGGCCGAGTGGTTTACGCGTCGGGCTAGTAATCTAAGGATTGCTGGCCGCGTTTGTTCAGACGAAGTCAGGGGCAAGCCGTTGTTTCCTTGAGCAAGAAACTTTATATTGCATAGTACTGATTGATTCCAGGAACGGCTTCGAGAGTATAAACTAATTCGGTCGCCTTTAGCTTATAGTACGTGCATATTATTGCTATTTAAGTGAAAATTTATATTAAAATATTTTTTTTCCACGAACTATATATATCCATTACCTGCTTTCTTAAAGGTGTATCTGACGTAAGGACTTTTTGTCTACTGCAAATGTGATTCAAATTACCAGTAACGTTGAAGACTATATAGGGATTAATCGGACCGTTGACAAAACATGTCATTTTAATTCTTTTGAATAAGTGTTTTTTTATTAAAAACGCAAACATTATGCTTTTATATATACATCTTTTTTCCTTATAATAGCCCCCTCTGTTGAAAAGGTATTCCGGCGCGATCCGAAAAAGAGCGTAGAAGAGGAGCTGTACTCCATCGCTAATAACCCGAGTCCAGTAATGCGGTTGTTGGAGGATATATACGCCATCCAGGCCTCCGGTATCGTCAAGTTCTGGGTCCGTGATGATACAGAGATGACCGCTTTAAAACGACAGCTCGAGGTATAATGATAATATAAATTCCATCGGAAGTAAATGATGATGATTATTATTATTATTATTGTTGTTGTTATTTTATTGTTATTATTATCATTATTATTAATTTATTATTATTGTTGTTGTTGTTGTTGTTGTTGTTGTTATTATTGTTGTTGTTATTATTATTATTATTATTATATTAAAAATGACATCCGGAGCTATCAGACCTAAATTAAAAGAAAATTACAAACAAAACATCGCATGTCGAAGCATTCTTTTTCTTTTTTTCTCGTAAATTTACAAGTTTTTTCTTCAAATTTAGTGCATATCAATGATTTTAGCATATCCGTTTTTCATTTTTTAACTTCTCAGCAATAAGGTCATTTTTGTAGGTTGTTATGCTTTACAACAAGAACGTGACTCTCGTGCAAATACACGTGGAGCGTTACAAGATTGCACGTGACGCAGTCAGGAGCGTTGTTGAAAAGGCAGCAAAAACAATGGCGCTAAATGGATGCCCGGATGTGTCAAGAGAAACTTTGACACCGTACGAAATACTGGAGGTCCCTTCAGGTAGGTAGCATGTGATGTAAATTGCACGTCAAAATATTTTATATTGAGAGTCTGTGTTCATTTATATGACTATTTTTGTAATCCGAAACTCATACGGAAGGCTCCATATTTGCCTTAACTATTTTTTGAAGAATAAGTCAAGAAATTCTTTTTCAATTGTGTCAATTTGAGCCTAAATGGTAAAGCACAAACCTAAAGAGCTTTACTGGGCCAGTTCAATTTATCGGAGTGGAGGTATTTGAACGCCGGATTCTAAGATGTCAGATGAAATAACATTCAAATAAGTGATTGCTTTCGAGGAATCACCCCTTTTCCTGATCTTTATACATGAAGTTAAAAAGATTGAAGAGAGCATCTTATTCAAATTTGAAAATGAAAATGTTATTGTTGTAGATTTAAAAGTTGTGTTTTTTATTCTAATTGTTACAAAGTGTGCGATATGGGTTATTTTTCATTGCTTTTTTTGTTTCAGAGAAGAAGAAGCGGGCTGCCGAGCCACCTACACTGCGCTATCAGATACGTGATTATCACAAGAACTTTGAGGCTAGATGGGCTGGCAGGCATATCCTACTATAGGCAAATTTGACGCATAATTCCAATTCAACGCATTATAAAAATGTATATGAATTTTTGTGTGGACACTTCATAAAAAATGCACAATTTATAGACTCACTGTTTTTCGAACTGATTTTCATTTTGTATTTTAATATAAAATTCAATACCTTGTAAATATTTTGACGGATCTTCATCACAATTATCTCTACATTTCTATAACAATGATAATGTGTCCATCTTCGATAATCCTTCCTATTTCCACCTTCTCAACTAAAACTCCTCCCATTTTCATAAAAAAATGTGATTGTAAACATGCTCTTGTATTTGTGATTAACATTCTATAGATGTTATTTTATGCCTTTGCTTTGAAACCTTGAGAACAATCTACCAATTTTTATTTTCTATTAGAAAATCACCAGAATATATCATTTAATTCGAGTTACTCACAGATCTATATGTGTATGTGTAATTCACCATCTTATCAATCGTCTATGACGAGTTATAAGTCGATAAAATGAAGGTTTATATAAGATTGTTACGCAAAAACATTGAACAATACATTTTTTCGAACTATTTTATGCAGAAATGTTTTCAATTCTGATCTTCTTAATCACAAAAATGATTCCGGTTACCTCCCCTTCTTGGACAGTTCTTGACAAATGCAAATCACATTAATGTAACGATTGGGATAATTCATCGTTGAAGGCATACTAAACGATTTGGCCTTATTCATGATACCAATTACTTATTGGTTGAATTAAAGTTCAATGTAGTTCAGTTGCCTTGTTCTATTTTTATACTTTACATACTTCACAACGGCCACAAACTATGACAATATCTTTTCCATCTTACGCGCCAAATCTGCATGTAACATGTTGAAAACATTGCCAAGACTCTTTTGATTACTGTGTGTTCACAACAGTAAAATATTTCGTTTATTCGATTATCATATTCGTTTTGTCTTCAGAACACAATATAGATCTAGTCATTTTCGGAGTGCCAGATAATTTGATCTAGTCATTTTCGGAGTGCCAGATAAATAATTCTGAGTGATAGTTCAATTACCGTTCGTGACAGTTTCAAAGTTCGTAAGCCTCTACTTTTCGTTACGACTGTACAGACAGTTGCGCACATTGAGCACCCGTAACCTTTAGAGCTAAAACCCGGCCTATGAATACTGTTTAAGTTAAACGGAAGTTATTATAATCTAAATGGCGACACATGTTTCATTTAAATGGTATAAAATTATATCTAATGAAATATTTTTATAAATCTTATAAACAGTAAATTTATATTGTTTCCATAAAGTTAGGGTCATTTTCAAAAGAGTTGTTGCATAAAATAGTCTATATTATTTAATCAATATCGTAGATAAACAGAAAAGAATTTCCGGAACAAAATATTGTTATTATTTCACGAAGGGTTTTAATCGTTAACAATGACTCTTTTGCATGCGCAATCGCTTTGAAGGCAATATACAAACCATTTCTTTCATACAGGCATTTTGAAGAACATGTACCATTTTTTCAAAATTCAAACAATATATTTTTGCAGCACATATACAGTTTTGTAACTTTTGTGTATCAGAAGTTGTGCCTTTTATTCTGAATAAACACTTTTTTGTTGCATCGCGTCTCAAGTTCATTACAGTTAATTTTAAAACAAAAATCATATAACTGGGTTAACCATCACATTAACATTATTTCAGTCATATACTGACGGGAAGTTAACTTTTGAGCAATCTTGTAAATTCCTGTGTTTTTTTGAGTTTTTTTTTCAACCAACAAATCAACTAGTCCAAAAAACATCTGCCGCGTTCAGGAGTTTAACTTGCAAATTCAAGGTCCATAGATGTAACACCGCAGACTGACCTAACCACGTAGGCCTTTTACCATTCCAGCACACCTCTTTTTAAAGCAAAATAAATAGCATTTGTAGTACCCCACATCCCTTAAAAAATAAAATGTGCAAAACCCACTTCCGGTTATGACGTAGATATAAATATACACGTTGAGGGTCAAACTAAAACAGCTGATTAAGTGATAATATGTGTATCATCATGTGTCTATTTAAGCTTGTATCACAATATTTCATACTGACGAAAAAAAAAAAAAACTTAATTCATTGAAAAATAAATTTTGATCTGTTAGGCATAATTTTTCTATTTTCGTTATTGTCTTTTGTTGCAAATTAAAGGACAACTCATTTGGTCTGTGGGCATCATGATGCGTCTAAAGTCTTTGGTTGTGTATGAAAAATCTAAAACGGTCACTGACTCTGGTTACTTACGTGTAAAAGGAACATTCATTGGGATTTCCAAAGAAAAGAAAAACCTTAATCGCGACGGTCAGCTTCTTTAAGCGGCAAGTTTTTGATCTGAAAATACTTTTAACTATTCGTGATTAATATATCTTATCATTACAGACATTGCTCTTTGAATCAAACATTGTGGAACATCTCAATATGGCTAGACTTGAATCATAGGTGCACGGAGAACGGTTAAGTCTCTTCCAAACTAGCTTTCACGGTGTTCATGTACCGGGCTTAAACTTCTATATCTTTTTGTGCAAAGATTTGAATAAAAGTACCTTTACAATAAAAGAAGCAGCTCAGGGGCAAGTACGTGATCTTTAACAAACACGAACAAACAAGAAACAAAACTATCTACAATCACAGACGTTTATTGTCCTTTCACAGACGACCTCTCTTAAATATGGGTATCCCTTGCGTCCATTTAACAGAACAATCAACTTGCAATCTAGATGCTTTGGCACAAATGGAATATATTAATACACACATTCTAACATTTTACGTAATTAAAACAGTCCCTAAAAAGCAATATTTAATGACAATTACTTACAGAGGTTAAAGAAACACAATCGAAAAAAAACTAAAAGTAAAAATAAATAAAAACTTTACACTGTCTCTAAATAACATGGCATTATATACTGTGCACAGACTTTTAAAATATGAAATAGCCAAAGTGTTTAATATTACAAATAAATACAAGTAAACAAAAATACAGGTTCTGTTACTCAAATTTCGCGTTATACCTAATGGTCAAAATTCCAGTGATAAAAGGCATTCGTTGACCATACACAAACTCTAGACTTGTTACATACGAAATTGATTTCCTTAAAAGAAGTAAAACGCTTTGTGACGTTTTACCAACTTCACATTAATGATTAAGGAAAGCAAATAACGTATAACTAAATACATAGGACCACAATTTGTTTAACATAAAGCTCTTGAAATAAAAACAAGCCCGTGTCTTTAGGTGTACGATATGATAAATTAATCATCTTCCGATATAAATATTAATATTGCACAAGTCCGGCTCGTAATTACAGTTTACGAATACACAACACAATTCCTTAGAATTCGAAAATGTAAAACTTTCACATGACTCCTTTGCAAAACATTTTTTCTGAAAGCTAAAACTGTTAACTAAGTATCTATTAATTCGGATAGTTCTAGAAATCGGACATGCCGATTGCGCTATCGAATTTATAATCTGGTACCCCGCTTCGCTGTACAGTTTCGGTTACGCGCCTCTGTGGTTCCTGGCCAGGGTATTTCGTTTCATGTGCAACACGTGACGTAGTAACGGTCTCACCTTGAGGTTTTTGCCCCGTGCCATCTGAATAATTAGAGCTGGTAGTCTTCTCTGACGAATGAATCATCTGATAGACAAAGGAGTCGTTCCAGTCTCGTTCACCAGGCACTGGTGGCTTCTTTGGCTGACTGTTGTTTATTAAAAATGAAAACGATCATATTTTATAATCAAAGTTGAAAAAATACACACATGTATTAAAAACATAAAGCTACATGCATTTTAATCGTAATAGCTTTAAGAAAATATTGTCAAACACTGATCTGATTTTGAGTGGGTCCAAAATTGCCAAACCAATTGAAAACCAGTTAATATTATTGAGTATTATCATGACGGAGCAAAACGAATTGGCCATCACTTAGTTTAAAAGACATTCTGTACATTGTATGAACGCTTCGGATTGACAGTATCATCCTTAGCTTTTTTGCCTATTAATGAATTCTAAATTCTAAATAATTTAATTTTCTGCCACTTAGACATTAAAATTTTTCATACTGAAAACAAATCGTTTATGATGAAATTTAAGTGTCCATAACCATTTTGCTTCTGTACAGAAAAAAGTACAAAAACCAAGTGATAAAGTTAAAAAAAACATGGTCCAATTACATGGATTATAGTGTATGCTTTTATGCAATAGTATACTGTACGGAATATTTGGAATACATGGTTAACATAGATTTGTGTATACATACAAAGTCATTATGTGTATACATACAAAGTCATAATGTGTATACATACAAATTTACATAAGTTGTATCTAGAAATATGCACACAAGTCAAACCTGATTGGGGGTGAAAATAATAAGGGTGGTACTGGGCTTGTCTACCGGGGAGAGTTTCTTAAGATATTCTTTACACATCACCAGGCCGGGTTCGAGTACAATATCTATACAGGCAACAAAAAATAACAATGCGAACACACAAACTAAATAACGCTTAACAAAAACTAAATTAAAATATGGTACGCTATTAACACACTTTTTCTAATCTACTCTACAGAACGCTGGAGAAACGTCACACAGAATGAAGCATTCGAACCATTCAAAACGTATATTTGTGACGTACAGTTTACAATATACTGAACATTCTTGGTTAAAAAACAAAATCCGGTAATTTCCAGAGTTAAATTATTCTGAATATATTATATATTTTTATGTAATTTTTGTACAATTTCTTATGTTCTATGTTATTGTAAATATTGAAACAATTTCTATTTGCTCTGAAGAAATAACTGAGAAAACGTGCAATTTTTCATGACTATTATTACAAAAAATCAAAACCCGAATTTGTTAAACTTTATCCAAGGCATTTGCAGTTCCACAAAATAAATACAATATTATTGTAATGCAGATAATTATCTATTACGCCCAATAACAAAAAAAAAAAATAAAATAAAATAAAATAATAATAATAAGTATTTATAATGCAATGCTAGTCCAACGTCAATTTCAGAGAAAATTAAAAATAAAAAATGGTATACACCCATGACTACAGTACAACTTGCACAGAGCAACACGTTTCGGGAGTCAAACAACGAAACAATGGTCGCTGTTGATAGGTGTTTCTTTGGAAGAACTGATAAGTTGGTTAAAATAGATGATTTGTATACAAGTAGGCCGTTCTGAGGAGGTTGCACGGTATATCAATTAAACGGTAGCTCTTCAGCGCTTCTTATGTAAAATTCTTCCAAGTATAATTTCCAATAACTATTTCTTAAACGGTAGAAAATTCCATTTATAGAATGCTACCATTGCATATGCATATTGTTCCACAGAGTTGTTCAGAGCATACCGAAAGTGTAACGTTTCTTTAGCGTCGTGTTAGTTAAAATAATTATGTAACATATACATTACACATTTGTTATACAATTACACAAGATTTTTAACATAAACATGTACATGACCATCAGTTCATAAACATTTCACGTAACCATAGCAGTACCAATAAAATGCTACATATTGCAAAAATGCTTAACAAAACTAACAAAACTATAAATGTGCCATGGAAATTCATAGCACGGCATACACACGATAGCTCCTATATATTGGGCAAAACTTCGTTCTTTTCCGTATCAAAGCGGCAATTCGATTCGAAGTTTATTGGGTCTTTTACAAGTATACGGAAAGTGGCGAAGAATGTCGAATATTTACGAGCATCTCACGGATGTATTGCCGTTATGACAAAACACTGAACAGTTAACAACTAAAGGCATTAATGCACATAAATATTATAAATAACGATTTTTATATCTATATGAGACACATGTAAACGAAATGTGGAGCTTACAATAATTTCTGTTCGTACCAACACTATAAAAGTTCAGCTTTAGCGGCAGAAGCCTATCACTGAGAAGTATAATTGACCTTTGACCTTCAGCATGCTAGCTATGTATAACGGACAACAGAAGCAACTAAAACACATGTTTACAATTCGAAGCACCAATCGTACTTAACTGACACCGAATAATTTGATGTTGGTACATAAACTAGCAACCATAACTTATTATGTATAATATAATGTTCAAATCATCAAATGTTAAAACAAGGTTACCATGGATATGATTTCTTTGATGAACAAATGTTAAGATTACATTTATTCATAACAAACAGTTGCCAAGAGACAAAACAAAATGCACGTGGTACTTTCAACATTCTATTAAATTTGGAGCTCATATCAAAAACATTTATCGTTAAAGAGGCAAATTTCTTTGAAGCAGAAAACATTCCTTTTGTTAAAAATGTGTTCCTTTGAACTGTGTTGAAAATACCAAACACACATCAGTTCGCGCCAAATTTTGACAATGCACTATTGATATGTCTATAGTCCGTTTCAATGTGAACCTTGCTATCAAGGAAAAGATTCATCTTAATTAACGATTTTTTTTATTTCAAAGCACGCAAGAACACCGATTGAAAAGAATTGCTTGTTTGAATAACCGTTTATGCTTGAATAAGGACAAAAATCACAGGAATGTGACCATCGTTAGTTGGTACTCTTTGAAACGGACTATATACACATAAAACAAAAAAGAAACATAGCAAGCAAACAAAATTATAAATATGCCATGCCAACATCACTTACGACGGTGAGAGAGCCCGGCCTTTAGTTTGACCAACATAGGAATCCATAACATTCGCATTTGAGTACAGACCAATGGGCGAGTTGTATTGTAAATGGACAACGTTCGGTGCTTGTCCAGCTTGTCCATAGCTACCTGAAACATCATTGAGGGCGGCATTAGGTGACAGGTGTTGAAATGTTGGTGATTGATAAGGGGAAGTCTCAGGGGGAGGAGCTTGGGACCTATAGGGTTTCGGTGGAACAGTGGGAGACACAGACCTATAGGCAGCAGACGGCGAGTGTTGATCCTGTCGCACGGTCGACTGGGCGGAAATTTGTACGATTTTCGGCTTCGGCGCAGTTGGCGGCTGTGGTGAATGCATATGCGGTCGATATGGCTGGTCAACGGTTGCACTCTGGTATCGTTCGGCCTCTAATGCCTCGCGTTCCCATGGCTTCATCATTTTGCTCTCACCACGAAGTGTATTGCTCCACGGTTGCCCGTCCATTTCGTCATCGTCACGTCGGGCGTTAACGGCAGGAGGTCTTGGTCGGGAGGACGTGGGTTTGGGTTGCTGTTGAGGTTGTGGTTTCGTGTAATCGACCCCAAAAGTCGTATATGAACTGTCACCTTGGGCCCGTGCACGACCGAAACTAGGAGTGGGTTTGCGGGATCGCTGAATGGCTGAAGAAAGGAAAAAGAAGGAAAACAAGCATGAGTGGATTGGATTGATTGCGACTACAACTAAGGGGGAATATTTAAAAAATAAATAAATGTACTGAACACAATAATATTAAGGGTATCGTAAAGAAATAAACAAATTTATGAATAAGTACACACCAGTAGATTTATTTCCAAATCATATATATTCGTTTTTTTAAATGTACGTATCTAAAAATAAACATATTTATATTGTAATTTATTAAAATGTCTTTAAAAATGGTAGCTTAGCTATTAAAAAATTAAAGATTGTCACTGTAAAGTTATTACAGGAAATAAAAACACATTTAAATAGAAGAATGTAACGTTTTCATTACATCAAATGATAAATTATTGATTAAATTAGCAGAATGTCACATAATGTCACTACATTTAATAAAATAATCATTGATTTTAAAAGCAGAATGTCAGAAATGTTATTACATCGAATAATCAATAATTGATTAACGTAACAAAATGTCACATAATCAGATGATGTTACTTCATCGAATTATCAATTTTTAAGTTTAATAGCAGAATGTCTCTAAATGTTTCTACATTGATAAGTTAATACATAATGTCTGATATAAATAGCAGAATGTACCATAATGCATCGAATAATACATAATTATAGATGCAATTAATGTAGTCTTACTGTAATGCTTTCCCGCCAAAAAACATCTTACATCGGCCAATATCGTAGCAAATCGGTTATTTCCAGAACGCTATTTTTTTTTCAAAACCTTGGGCATTAAATTATTGACAATCACTCAACCTTTATTGCTATGAACTAGTTCCGGTCGTAAACGGTTAAAAATCATTTTAATACCAAAGATAGTGAAAAATAAAGTTCCGGAAATGACCGATTTATTACGATGTTGGCCGATGTAAGAAATTTTTTGCGGGACAATATTACAGTAAGACTACCTTAACTGGTTGTTTCATCGAATATGTTAATCAAGTTACCGATATAATTTGCAGAATGTTAACGCTTAATCTTAAGTTGAATTTATCTAAGATATACTATGCTCATCCTTGAGTAAAATATCTTAATCAAAGAAATTTCTTGAAATCTATAAAATTCTTACTGAATATGTCTAATTAGAAAAAAAATAATGAACAAACTATGTAAGGGAAGCTGCGTTCCAAACTACAGGTAAAAGTGGTCTTTCAAAAAAAAAAACTGTCATTTTTTGGCACTATATATCACATATATAGTGTAAAAAGAATCTAGTTTGTGAGAAGTCAAAACATGTTTATTTTATATTTACAAAGGGATTGTGTAGCAATTATTTCTAATATCAAATTTGGGAATTGTATATCTCTAATAAACGGAATGTTAAACTTTCACCGAAATAGTCACTACTTATTTATTCCATTTTTGACAGAATATGCCAATGAGCTGATTTCCTAATTTATATAATAAACAGAATGGCACATTTTGCTATTATTGTTAATTATTAATTAATCAAATAAAATTATTAATAAATGTAAACTTTAAATAAAAAAAATATTGAAGCATTTTAGTAGTGTATATAATTATAGAGAAGTAAATGATTACGTTGGAGATATGTAAATAAAGGTGAAGGATATATATGTGTGTACAAAACAAAATATAAAATAAAAAAGTGAATGCACTCAGGGGTTAGAAAAAGCTGTATATAGGAAGCTAATATACAAATACATGTGTAGGTGAGTCTAAAAACCAAAAGGTTATTGATTTAGCTATTTAACGTAAATACACGTCTAAATTTTTTAAAATATTATTTGAAATCCAGTTACAACACAAGTAAAAAAATCTCGAAAATTTCTAATTCGGGAGTTCAGCTAAGACACAGCAAAAGTTAACCTACTAAAAACAGCATGGATTAATCCATGCGTTCGGAATTTACTAAAAATATATTTAGTTAGCTAGCAAATATAGCCTAAACATCATCCAAAGCAGAGTTTTGAGTCACCTGGGGGTGGGCCCCTTTGTTTGCCAAATATTTTTCTCCGTTCCCAAACAGGCGCGGTGGGATAATCATCTTCATCGGAACCCAGGGCATCTAACAATGAACGAAATAGTGTAACAGAACGAAATTATTTAACGAAATAGTGTAACAGAACGAAATAGTTTAACGAAATAGTGTAACAGAACGAAATAATGTAATGTCAGAGCCTTATAGTGAAACATTGCTAAACTTGATTCATCCGAACTGAACAAAACGGAATAAAAGTCAATTACATTCTGTTTTTCAACCTAATAGTGGAACAAAAAATAAAAGAAGAAATATTTATAAACATTGTAGCCTTAATTGTTACAAAAATGGACAAAAAAGTGAAGAACAATCTATTATTTTATGTACAAATCAAAAACAACCTAGTAAACGCTATTAAATCATATTAAACCACCTTAATAGGAAAGTGTTTCATATAAGCAATAAGCTTTCTTCTTAATCCTGGATGCAATTTATGTATTGTAATTTTGTTTGTAAATATTGAAGAAGAAATAAATATCATTTAAACCAAACCACCTTTATAGTGCTGAAAATGGCGAGAAAAGAAAGTGTTCAAGAAAGGGAGAACAATTATCCTTTGATACATTAAATTTGAACGCAGATAATTATCTCCCTGCAAATAACAAGAAATTCAAAATTCACAGAAATTTCAGAAGAAAATAGAGATATAAAATATTTTGGGCATTGTCGTTTCATAAAGCAGACGATAATATTCAGTACTGCTGTTTAATGGTTTCATGGTAACGTGAAATACTCATCTTTCCGACATGACATTCATTGAATGATTGACAATTTTGCCTACAAATAAAACAATTGCTTATCCTTGAAATATTTTATTCTTATTGATTGCAAGGCTGAAAATTGGTCAAAAACACTGATTAATACTGGATGTCAAAGAAAAACAACACAAGGGTTGTTGGTAAAAGGTGAAGCAAATGGTTGAAGATTTCAGGAATAAAACTTTATACATATATAAAAAGATATTTTCAGCACGTAAATCACGTGATCAGGGTATCCAAATGCACGCGAGCTTTGAGAAAAGTTTACCATGGGAAAACTCTCGATTCAAATAGTTTTTTTAACCATATTTTTCATATAAATAGACCAAATTTCTATCATTTCATTGCAAACGACAAATTGTTATGTGCTTTTTCTACCTTTTAAAGGCAATGATTTGAATTTAGTTAAAGCTTAGCAATTTTCTCAAATAATTCAATCGAAACCAACGTATGCACCAAATATATTTAAATTTTTGACAGTCAAAAGACTTTTGGTAAAAACAATAATGCATCGTGAATCGAGAGACATATCGGGTGCGCGCGCAACCAAAAGGCAACAAAGGTACAATGGTCGGCAATTAAGTTTAACTTGAGTTTAGGTACAAGCTTAACTTGAGTTTAGGTACAAGTTTAACTTGAGTTTAGGTACATATAGTCTGCATTCGTCGATTACCTTTCGGTCTAGGTAATGCTGGCAACTTGAAATAAAGCTCGGTTTGATATTCTAAATATAAATGCAATGTGATTAAGAAAGAAATGCAAAAATAAATAATAAAAATAAAATAAAATTCCGCTTCAGCTGATTTAAAAAAACAAAAAAAAAAAAAAAAAAAAACAACATCATTTGAGTGTGAAATCTTATCATTTGAGCTTGAAAAAGTCAAAAGAAATATCACGTGAAATGATTTACAATACCATACTAGCATTTTTGTCGGGCCATTTTCAGCTTTAATGATGTTGGAAAACCTCAAACAACACTATGTGCATGTGTATATATTTTTCAGACATACCTGGGCGAATGAGTAGAACCATCGACATTCTATAAACAAGCTAGAAACATGTAGCTTAAAACATGAGATTATTCAAAGTCGTTAACAGGATTTGAAACTGCAACAGTGCGAGGGAACATGAACCACTTTGCTCATTACCGACACGAAGACACTTCGTGTGTATATTGCAAGGTAAAAATAAAGTAATTTGAAAATGATAGTAAACAGAATAACATAGGTTTCACCATTAAAATATACTTATATAACGAACTAAAAAAGGGTGGTTCCAAATATAAATTTAATAAAAAAAAAGAAAAGAAGAAGTGAATTCATTAGTTATTCTCCGAAACGTAAGTTATATACAAAAAAGAGAGTGGAATAGGTTTATTAGAAAAAAAATCAAACCAACCCCAAGCTTTACAAGAAGTAACCCTTAACCTGCTAGAACCGGAAGTGAACAGTCTTTGCCACCACTATGCGGTCAGAACAGTATGTATATCCGTGCAGTCTGACATTTTGGTAACACCAAAACTAATAATGCAATAGTAGGATACTACGTCATCGCGCACCTGCAAAATGCTCCCAATTTTGCAGGTGCGCGATGACGTAGTATCCTACCATTGTTCTGGACATTTTAGAAATGTAAGCTGTTCAAGTTTATGATATAAATTCAGCAGGTTAAGGGTTTAATGTCTGAACGGAAAGCAGCGAAGCAGCTTTACTAAAAGTTAATGACGAAAAAGCCATGATTGGTGATATACCTGGTGACATACATATAGCAGCAAAATAAAATCCTGATTATTATAAGGAACACGTGGACGAAACTAAAGAAAGAAGTGAAATCGAGAAAGCAGTATCTTGCTTTTCAATAGCAGTAGATACGAAAATACTTAGTACATTGATAGAATTTGAAAGTTGGAAATTGCGATGGATAAGAGGTGTGTTATCGTACTTACTCGGCGGTTGTGGCGCCCCCTTCATAAAGTTTCTCCTCCTTTCATTAACACTTCCATAATCCTCTTCCTCCACACCCCTCTCCTCTTTGAATCCAAGAAAATAATTTTCAGAATTAACAAAAGAACTTGGACATTAATCGCTTTTATTTTGTAGAAATAATTACCCTTTTTCAGTAAGTTCAATTTTTCAGTACTTATTCGAAACTGTCATATATGTTACGTTTTAAAAACTATTGTAATATGAAATAAAGCAGGGTTCACACTGCCCATCATTATACCTATATTAAGCACAAATAAATAATCGGAGACTGATCATACTTGATGTCGTCAAAAATGATCAGGTCTTACTGGTCTACCTTGGTTGCCATAGCTCTGGTTTTCCTACCAGAAAAATGTTAACAATTCGAGGAGGCACAGAGAACCAAGTGTTCCAGAAGGGATCAGGTTGTTGGTAAATTTTGGTCGGGTTAATCAGAAAATCATTGTACTTAGATATATTTTGTTTGGATCTATACATGTTAAATTGTCGTGACCCGATCAGCTAGACCGCATTCAGACCATGTAGAATTGATATCATACAAGGGTTCTGTTTGGATCAGAATAATCGGAGAGAGACATGAATTTTTGTCGTCATATAACAGTGGGTAATGTTCGGCCGGCGATGGTAGCGGACGTAAAGTCATGTCAGAGGCTGGGTTGTCAAACTTTGTCTTAAGTTATGGTCAATCAATGTGATCAGATCGGCAGTGTGAACTCTGCTTAATCGAAATCCACCAATTCCCATACATTTTCAAAACGTGTTAGATAAGTTTCTGTATAGAAAGACTTCAGATACCTTAAATGGAAAATCCTAATCAAAGAGGTGGAGGAAGAAGAAATGGCGAAATAAATGCAATTAGTTTTTGATAATAAACATTATACATTGTTTGTGAAGTATCAGATGCTATAATATAATGTAATTTGAAAAGAAGACACGATTGAAAAGGTCTTAAAGTTATTTAATATTAAATAATTATTAAAATCTATAAAAGTATGCACAATATTAAACACACTGTAATATGTGCCTATATATTTCTTACATGTATCATAGTTATTTCTATAATAGATCTAAACAAAAACAGTCTTCTACAGATAAAAAGTGGGAAATGGTGGTGTTTTAATCTATGAATTAAATGGGCAGTGAATACCATGCTTTTAAAATCAAACATTAACTTGTAACAAAATAACTAGAACAACAGCACACACACAACATTCAGCAATACCTGGCTGTTTCACTGGAGGGCTCTGTGGAGCAGAGAACTGAGTTTGACTTTGAAAAGTCTGCTGCTGCTGGTAGCTTTGTTGTTGATGTTGCTGCTGTTGCTGTGGTTGGCCACCGTAGTCATACTGGTCTCTAGCCGGTACCGGCGCGGCTACGGGCCTATACTGAGTTTGTGGCGGTCTGTGACCAGCCACCCCGCCATAAGCCGAACCAAAATCCGGCCCACCTCCTCCGAATTTATTCAGAGTGACCTTCTTTGGCATAAATCCGGCCGACATGTCTCTATTTGGCTCTGTGTGTTGTACTAGTTTCGTCGCTGGTTTAGGAGGAGATGGTTTCTGTGGCGAGATAGGGATAGTTCGAGTCGGAGATTGGGGACCTTGCTTTCTTTGAATTGGAATAGTAATCTATAAGTAGAATAAATTTATGAGTGCACTGTTGTTGAAGCTAGATATCTAACTTGACAGTTAGAGACATGTATGGAAATGAAACAGTTTTACTTTTTACATAATTCTATGGTCAGTGGTTTAATAGAAACTTTATAATGTACAAATAGACGAGCCGTACTGTGTTCATTACTAACATTTATTGTGTTAAGGCGTCATTACTTTTTAACATTCACGAATCGTCATAATAAAGTTATAAATCTTTCAGTGCAAAAATGGATGCAGGCAGTATGTCACTGTCCAGAAACATTTCAAAATACATGAACAAAGAAGAGCAATATGATTATGTAATATATCTTTTCACTTAATTTATCGTTTTGTATGCCCAAAAAATATCTAGCAAAAACAAAAACAAAACAACCCAACATGTATGGTTAAATAAGCATTAAGTCTCTTTAATGTATTGTAACATTCGCACTTGCTTTTTAAAAACTATTTAACAATCGCACTGAAAGAATCGTACATCTTATATCACCAACATTTTATCCCGTTACCACCAGAGGAAGATAATAATTATATATATTATGATAAATTATAGAAAATGTAAACAAACAATTTTTAAGTTAAATAAAAATTATCTCAAATCTGGAGGCATGCAGCTTTTGTGGTACCTGAACCATTCGAATATTATTACATAAAATTTCTTATGTCAAAATATCTCTTTAAACTAATGTACAAAATTGAAAATTATTTTCACAAATCGTGTGTCTCTTGTTTAAACTAGAATAAAAAATGTAAATAAGTAAATATACCTGTGGAGCTCTTGTAGGGGACTGTGGGAGACTCGGTGCCCGGGTATCAGTTGCTGGTGTCAGCGGTTTGATGGTAATGTTTCCAAACGGTCTATAAATACAAAGTCAAAAAAACAGGTTATTACAAGTATCTATTACAACAATCAGTATAATTTTTACATCCCGTTATTTGTAATACAGCAGGACAACAGAGTATAAAAGTATAAGTTTGTTTTGTATGATGTATCCATGACTCAGATTTCATTCAAAAGCTTTTGCAAAAACAAAATGACATTATCACAAATTATCTACAAAAAAAAATCTAAAATTTACAATTTTCATGTATACACGATGAATACTTCTTAAGCACGGTGCTAGGGGGCGTGCACAGAAGTTTTCATTTACGACTGCAGCCCATCAAATTTGCGGTTTTGGATGTTCTATAGAGATTCCGTGCACTTTTTTGATAAATGTTATATTCCCCAATTTCAATCGACAGTTATTCAGAGTAAATCTCTTTGCAACCGGTGTTACAAATATTTGTTAACCTGAGTATATGATTCAGAGCTAAAGACAACGAATCTTATATACACATTGTCTTACCTTTGTACTAGAAATTCTATTTGCCCACCACCTCCACTGATCGCATCCTGTGCCTGCTTGTGTGTGAGATTGCTTGTGTCACGGCCGTTGATGGCAACAATGACGTCTCCTCTATGCAATTCACGCTCCGATGGGGTATTGGCGAACACCTGATAATATATAAAAAAGAGGATCTGGTAAATGATTATATAAGAAAGTGGTTTTTAAGTGACTGTCATAAGTAAGTATTTGTTATTCAGCATATTAACTAGAGACACAAATTAAAGTGGTCCATCGATTGATCTTTAAGGTAGACCATGGGTAATGGGCACTATAAGGAACTGTAAAATTAACAACATAGGACAGTTATGTGCATTAAAGCAAGTGATTGTTATTCAGCATAAACTAAAGACACAAATTAAAGTGGTCCATTGACCGATCTTTAAATGCAAGGTGTTTCTGCAAGAGTTTGCCATTCTGAGGGTGTTTTTTTTCCAGAAGATACACACGGTATTTTATTCATTATAAGACCACATAAGTTCAACCAACTTCAGTGAGCACTTATTTATAAATCATTCGATTAAAAAATTATATTGCTGTTAGTCATAATGACAGTTTTGTCATTCATAATACATAGAAAATGCCAAAAAGCATACAAACCAATACACAAACATATAATGACTATCTTACCCTACAAAAGTCGCCTTGCCAACTTTAAGCTTTTAGTATAAGTTACACAACAATCACTTATTATCAGTAATTTACAAAAAAACTTTATAAAAGGCAGTTTTTCGTTCCTTTTTATTTTTTATAGAGATTACATTTTAAGAGATTAACGTTTCTTTTGTTTCAAAGTTACAGTTACGTCTTACAAATGTTATGCTTTCTTTAGTTAATTTATTTTTACATATTTCTGTACATAACATTTACACGTTTCCTTTTTTTCATTCACATACTTCTCTTCTGATTAATTATCTTGATTAAATATAATAATCCTAGCCTACTTATTATAATAGTTGTTTGTTACCCCGGTATTTCGCGTTTATCATTCACCTTGGCAGATTGACAATAGTTTACAGTATTATATAGAATATGAGTGCTCTTTTTGTGTGTATAACACAACGCAGAAAGTCTGTGAAATGCATTTTGCAAAGGAATTTGACTTTTAAAATATGTGGTTTATAAACACGAAGATAAAAGTTATGCAGATACAGGTGTGAGTCATGCCCAGGTAACACATTTAGGAACATCGAATGATATAATCTGATCTACAATTTTGAAAGAAAACAATTTACCCATTCTCAATCGCCTACCTGTTTACAATAGTAATCTGACGACGAAAACAAATTTTTGCTGCAATAAGGCACGCAGCCTTCAAAGAATAAAACAACAAAAAATGACTAACGTTAAAGTCACCTTCTCTTATCTTATTCTATACACAATATACACTTACTTATATTATGCCAAATGTCAGTATCAATTTAGTATAAATTCATCTTTACCCTTTTAAGAAAATACCATCATCCTTTTCAAAATTAATTCCCCAAGGAGAAAGCCATTACACAGAATAACTATAAAGAACATATCCAAAAAGCGCTATCAAATTAGGTGATCAAATACTGGAATATAATTTGAGGACTTACAGCAACGAGCAAAATGTAGCATCCTTAATCATGTAATTTTTTAAAATACCTCCTGCACGATCGAACTCTATTGGATATCCGCACTAAACCTGAATCAGTATATATTACTCAGCAAAATCTCCGACCTTTGCCTCCTTGTAACTTCCATGTAAAATTCGGAGTCAAGAGCAGGTTACATCAATATATTCACATCAGTGTGCGTGTTTTAAGAACTTTAAAACAATTTGGATCGGATAGCAAACCAATATCAAATGGCATCTTTAAGTGTCTTCTACCAATGAAATGATGTTGCATTTATGTAAAAGTATTGAAAAGAAATTGTTGCAACCAAACATATATCCACGAAAAAATATCTATGCCACATAATATAAAATTACATAAATGCAGATGTACATAAATAAAGATCCAATGTCAATAAAAGTTGAAAAAGAAGAATTCTAACAGTCAGAGAAAAATGATGTTTTGACAAAAGTCAGAACAGAAAATGAAATGAATATCTAGAAGAAATCATCGAATATTCGTTTCTTCAAGAAGTAAAACATGACTTACAATTAAATTTATAGTCTGCGCTAAATTGGTTACCAAAACCAAAAAGTATATTCATAGAAGATCAAGATGATGAAACAAGACTGGTCAAATGGATTGTTCATGCCCTAATTATCTAATTTCTAAAATGAATAAATATTTCTAAATAATATTCAAAAATTGTTAGACACAAAAGATCATATAAAGGTCCGAAGAGATCATTTAATCTTTCAAGGTTGCAACAAAAGTAACTCTACAGTGTCCAACGCCATTACAAATGGAGAATTGGCCATTATGAAGGTCAAGTAAGCCTTCACATGTGTCCGACAGATTCTATATTGCTGGTTATGGAATTTTATGGTTCAAGTAAAACTAAACCTTTCTATTCTAAATCTTAAACAGTTTGTCCATTAGGCAAAGCTATGGATTTAAAGGTAAGTAGAAATTATCAGAAAAAAACCCACCACGTAACAGACGCTTGAGATTCACGCTCTATTGTATAAATAAACAATAATTAGAGGGCAAATATTTGGTAGGTACATTCTTACAGTGTATAATATGCTAAGCTGCTCTTTCATGTTATAATTAGAGAAAGAACACATGTGAACACTTACTTTAAGATAAAATATTGTGAAGAAAATAAATACCCTTCGTTACCTTATTTCCATCGGTTACAAGCTGTCCCAATAGAGCATTACTAGGTCATAAAAATATACAAAACAAATGAAAGATGGCTTTAATGATGAGGGTAATCAGCAACATTTTATCCAAATGATGGGAGTATTATCATGTATTCAGTATAGCATAAAACTCAACGGAATTCAAATAACACTTGCTGAATATAAATTAGCTTTGACAGTAATAAAGATCCTGGCGGAACTATGCTAAGGCAGAAATGGTTAAAACATCTTAGATGAAGCAAGTTCCAAATATCCAAGCAGCAGCCAAATATTATACAGTTTCTCAATAAACAATAAATGCGTATTAAAACGTACAACAATGAAGCATAAACCGATATTTTCCTAAAAACAAAAATAAGAAATTAAATTCAGAAAGAACAATAACCGATCAGACAACATTTAAAGCAATTGGCGAAAAACATTTGCAGCGTCACATATTTTTACGTACATGAATGGTTATCGGCGCACTAGATCGTCGTGACGTTAAAAGTACATTAGACGTCATTGCCATAATCCACAGTGAAATGGTATAACGGAGCGATTTAATCGAACCACAAAGAAGGTCACTCTCTCACTACATAACCGACTATTTTATAATAATCACAAAATCATTTCGCGTCTTAACTATTCGCAATATAAATATAACAATCTACCTGCTAATCAGAAAGTGTAGGCTATGTTTATTCTTGGCATAGGCTTTCGCTGTTAATGATACTACACGGTTGTTTTTATCCCGGATATTCTATTCTGAAGTATGGTGTAGCTTTTGAAGAATATTGCTTAAGATATTTTGTATGCTTACAATTGGTTTTCTCGTTTTCACCACAAACTTGTTGTAAATGTCAAGTAAATACCATTCATAACTTACTGTAGTAACCCAAATAAAAATACTGTAATCTCAAACTAAAATGTGAAGCTGGATATTTCAAATTTTCATGTCGATTTCATAATCATCTACGGCATAATCGTATACTCAATCAAATCATCAGAACTTCTACACTGCTTCTTATATAGTAATTTTTAATATTTTAGATCTACTTGATTTCATATTCATATTTTGGAACACCTGTCAAATATCTGTCAAAATGATGCATAAAACATACACAACTAGTATTGAAAACAACATATGTGCTTAGAATAAATAGATAAGTTATGAAATAGTTGACCTCTAAAGGTTGCCAAACATTCTCAAAATGAACATATTGTAAACTCGCAGACTCGCTTGGTTACCGGTAAATAAAAAGAATATCATTATACTTGTAATATTGTTCATCTTTTTATATTTTTGGGTGACTAACTGACCATAATTTATTCAACATTTGACTTTTCTGTTACGTTTGTACACGTCTTATGTTAAATTTTACCGTTTGGAGTATGTCAATAAATTGCACTTGGCATAAACATTAGGCTGAAATATTATGTTTTTTTTATTCAAATTTTATTTTTGCTTCTTATATCTTTTTTTCTAATATTAAAATCAATATAAAAATCTATAAACCGTCATATTTTAAAAATAAAAATATCAAAACTTGATGAGATTGTTCTCCGGAAAACGGATTCGTCTTTCCAAATTCCCTTATTTGGTTTTTTAAATGCCGCTACATATCATATATCACATCGCTTATTTGAAACCGTTGCATTTAAACATATGTTAAATATTTCTGTTCTTACTCAATTAAGGTTCATACTCCAAGCTGCGTGAGAACATTAAAAAATTTGGTCTAAAATACATCTAAATTGTATAATTTACATGTTTTTTTTTCAAAATAATGTGTGATCCCGAACATTTTTTTTTTCAAATTTCTTTTACTTAGTAATCAGTGAAAATCCATAGTTTAATCTCTCTCTAACTCAGTTTCTATCAACTTCATTAAGGAATGTGTTATTGCTAATCACAGCTGTTTCTAATTTATTTTCCATAGCGATGTGTACATCAGTCAGAATTTCACTGATTATAAATGTAACATATATATACATGCATCATAAACCTGTTCCAACACTTGTTCTAAAATAAACTCCAAATCGTCTACAGGTAAATGATGGTTTCTCACAAATTTCCACATATCAACATATATAAACACGTTTCTGTACATGATTGAAAGTAATGTCAAAGTATCTTACTTTAATTAGTTCTAAGAATTGCCTTAAAATTTATATTAGTTGTAGATGCTAGTATAGTTTTTCATCTTAGTGTAGTTGTATTTTATTTATTCTCCGGGATCATAGACTCTATTACGTGAAGTGTTGAATATTGAGCGTGGGAGTTGTTGCACATTTCACATCCTCTTTTGAACCCTTAGTCAATGCTTTTTGTTTCCGATA